CCACCCACATGCCTGTTCCTAAACCTTCTGCCAGAGCTGCACCACTTCCCTGCAGCTGCCTAGAGCAAGGCCCTGGGAAAAGTGGTCAGAAAGGCCCAATATGTGGTCCTGGGTCTTCTGCCAGTCTGAACAAGGGCTGGAGGTTCAAAAATGGGTCACGAGGTGGATCAACAAGGGGGTGTGTGACAGGGACACTGTGCGGAGCACCCGCAGAGGGTCGCAGGCCCAGAGCAGGATGAGACTGTTCTAGTTCAGAGCCCATGAGGAACTCCAGATTATCAAACTGTTATTACCAGATGAGATAATCAAATTATCATTCCCAGATGAGAAACAGCCCTGAGAACAACCCAGAAGGTGTCACTGCTCAGTCACCCCCCTAGGAACAGCCACCTACCACTCTCCAAGAGTGATTTCTTTGCCTTTGGTGATCTCAAAGCCTCCTCTCTTCATCATGGCTCTCTGAAAGGCATACTGGCAACGAAACACAGGCAAGCATCAGCACGGAGGGATAGCTGGGGGACACGTGGGTGACAGCCAGGCCAGAAGTGGGGAAAAGACCAAGGACTTTAAAGCTGGTGACAGGGACCAAGAGAGCAAGGGCCACCCAACCGTCCTCCTGCCCTCTACTGGGCTCGTGCTCTGGCAAGCGGGCACTGCCATGCTGCTCCTGGGTCCTGGGGCACTGGGGGAAGGAAAGAATGACTCTCCTGTGGTCCCGTCAGCTCTGTCATGGCAGGAGATCTTGTCTTTTCCAACTCCAAGCACACGGCTCATGCTACAAGCATGGCCAGCTGTGTCACATCCTCTGCAAACACAGCAGGGTGACGCTCGGGCGGGGGGCGAGGGACTGGCAGAGACAGCGAGACCAGAGTGAAAACAGCTCCGCAGAACTGGGCAGGCAGCAGACCCGGGGTGCCAGGAGAACCACCTGCTGCTGCCCCCCTGTCTCCCCCACCTCAGCCTGTGTCTTCCAGAAGTCAGCCTCCTTGGAGCTGTTCACCTCGCAGTTAATGACCAGCACGTCCGGCAGGCAGCGGATGTTCCGGGTCTGCACCTGTGGAAAGGGCTGGGGATGGAAACCAGGCACCACCGAGAGCCCTGGGAAGGCTCAAAACTGCATCTGGCACGTGTCAGCCTCTCCCTTCCTCCACCACCTTCCCTGGCAGAGCTCCCTCCCCTCCCCAGCTGGGTTTCTGGTACCCGGGGGCACCGCAGGAGCGACCGAGGCGAGGAGCCACCGCCATATCCCAAGGCTGCTCAGCTCCTGGGGGGTTCCCCCATGCCCCCCAGCCCTGCAGGAGCCAGCTGGGATCAGCGTGCCCCACGAGACACGTTCCAGTGCTCCCGGCCCAGGGAATCCCCCGCACCCCCCAGCTCCCCATCCAGCCAGGAACCGAAGCTCCTGCATCCGCTCCGGAGCTTCCCCACTGCCTAATGAAGAAACCGCCCTGCCCGGCTGGCAGCACGGGGCTCCTGCTCCCCTCCCACACCCCGACGTGCCCGCAGCCCCCTCCCCAGCTCACCGTGGGCTGGTACTTCTCACAGTTCTCACACCAGGCTTGCGTGTTCTGCTCCAAGCAGATGCTTCGCTTTAAAATCTGAGCAAACTCATAATCTTTGACCGGCTTCTCTAAAGGGAGAATAGAGAATAACGTCACCTTCCAGCACACAGATCTTTACCCATTGAGCTCAGCCAAACCTCTGGGGTTTTCCTCACAACCACCAGCCAGAAGGTCAACCCCCAAATCTGCCTTTCTGGAGCCAAAAGCTCGGCTGGTTGGAAACCCACCACCGAGACCTCAGCTGCTGGGTCTACCGCAGCCCGGCACAGACCACGGCGGAAGCTCCTCGCTGCAGGTGTCTGTCCCCCAGAAAAGTCCTGGCTCATCCCTAGGGATCACGAACCCCACCCGGGCATGGAAGCTCAGCAGTGTTGGCCGTGCCAGGCCCTGCGTTACCGGTGCTCTCGGGGTAGGAGAGGGTGAAGAGCAGCGTGGAGGACACACGGACGGTCTCCTTCCCGCAGCGGCACATGCTGCAGTTCTCCATCTCACAGCTGAAGAGCTGCCCGATAACTGAGCCCCCCGAGGAGCCAAAGCTGCTGGAGATAGAGAGCACCAGGCTGAGCAGGATCCCAGCAATCCCTGCCAGGGTGGGGCTGGCTGCTATGGGGTGCTCAGCACGAGAGAACGAGAGGAACTGGCCTCAAGTTGCCCCTGGGGAGGTTTAGGTTGGAGCTAAGGAACAATTTCTTCCCCTGGAGGGTTGCCCAGGCTGCCCGGGGCAGTGGTGGAGTCCCCATCCCTGGGGGGTTCTCCAAGCCATGGAGATGTGGGGTGAGGGACACAGGTCAGTGGGGACCTGGCCATGCAGGGGGCATGGCTGGAATTGATGAACTCAAAGGTCTCCTCCAACCAACACAATTCAATGATTCTATGACCTGCACACTCAGGCTGTGCAAGAGCCATTCAGGGCCAGCACCCCGATTCCAGCAGCCCTTGGGGAACCAGCCATTGGACTTGCAAAGCCAGTGGCCTCTCCTGAGCCTCGTCCTGCCCAGCAGGGGCAGTTGGCTTAAGAGGGACTGAGGTTAGAGCCCAAGGTTCAAACCCTGACATAGGCGTAAGGGTAGGAGCCTGCAGCTCCCTGTGTTCCCCCTGCAGCCCTCGGGGCAGATGTGAGTGCCAAGAAAGCTCCTTCCTGAGTGCTGGGCGAGGCCTCTGGGAGCTGGCCCCACTCTGGGGGTTCGGTTCTTCCCCATCCTGTCCCCAGGCCAGGGACTTACCTGGTGCCAGCCCCCCGATACGCCTGCGGCCCCTCCTGCTCCTGGGTTTCCTGGTGCAGCTGCGTAAGGATGAACCGGTTCCAGCTCTGAATCAGCCTCCCCAGGTTCACCTTCCCCGTGGCTTCATCCGAGTCAGCCAGGATCAGCCCCAGCGCTGAAGCCTCTGGGATCGTGCGGAAAGCCCGCAAAAAGTTGCTTCCCTGGGGATGGAGCAAGAGCAGCATGTCATCGAGGTCAGGTGACAGGAGTTTCCACGCTGTGTGATGCCATCGCCAGAGGAGCTGGCACCACCCAGCTCCTCTGTGATCTCCCTGACCCTCCCAAGCAGCCTGGCCTCGTGTCACAGACCTGGCAGGGGTCTCCCCGGGACAGGTCCAGCATGTGGAAGAGCAAGCCCAGCTCACAGCCCAGGCAGAATTCCTTCTGGCAGAGGTGGTTCTGCACCAGGCAGCGCACGGGCTCCAGGAAATACAGCACCTGGCCGAAATGGAGCTGTCAGGGGA